CCTGTGCTCTGACTCACTAACTGAGTGTCGGAACCACGAGGGAGAGGATATAATCTGACTGCACCTACTGCTGGTGTGCACCAGTGGACCACCAGCGAATCGTTTAAATTGAATATGCTGGTGTCCCTAACTTGTGAGCTGTGTTGGCCACCGGGCGCCTTTGTTGTCATGGCACCCTACGTGACCGCACAGCTTGCACATCCCAACGGCTGGCCCTGCTGACACACACTGATGTTACTACTTAGAAATTCCTCAATATTAATACAGACATCAGAGTAAACACCAATAAACTGTGGAAACAGAGCTGATCCCCCCAAAGATTTGCTTACTGGATTTGTTGTAAAATTAAATCATGCCTCCTCCTCTCTCTCTCCCATGCGCTGCTCTGTAGGCTGGGAGGAAGTGAAGAGTAATCACACTCTCCCAGCAAAGCAGCACCTGTGGCTGCATGGGAAACAGCTGAATTTGCCGCCCCCCATGTGACATCACAATGCCCCACCCATATGATCTGCCATATGAACTAACGCCAGTGCTGCACACAGTGTGTAATTACATTAAAAAGCCTGCAGGGACCAGCTATAAACACCAGAACCACTTCATCAAGCTGAAGTGGTTCTGGGGACTATAGTGTCCCTTTAATGTGAGCTAAATTATAGATTAGTGTCACTAATAATATACTAGATTGCTTATTTACAACCAGATGAGAATGATGATGGGCTGCAGTTTGGCTCCACTGGTTTGGTGTAGAACAGGATCTCTGGAGGCTATTTGCAACTGTGGTCACAAAATTCAATGATCTGGGAGAATTGGAAGCAGCTCCATTTTTTTGGGGCCCCTTACAAAGCTCAAGGTCTGGGCCCCAGGGCCGGACGGTGAGTATGCCCACTCATAAGTCCACTTATATGTTCCACCCACCCATGAGTTCGCTCACAGGGAGTGGTGTGTGTAGGGGACGTGTTATGTGTTATTGTAGAGGATCTAATATGTGTGCTTAGGTATGTAGTGTATAGGGATACCAGTTTGTGTAGGTGATACAGTGTATTTGTGTGTAGTGGAAGCAGTGTGTATTTGTGTATAAGGGATGTATTGTGTGTTTCTGGTTGTGTGTAAGGGATGCATTGCGTGAATCTGTGTTTGTATGCATAAGGGATGCAAGGTGTGTGTCTGTATGTGTGTGCATTGAGTGTGTGTAAGAGATGCATTGTGTTTCTGTGTATGTAAGAAAAGCAGTGTGTGTGTTTGCATGTGTGTGTAAGGGTTTGCATTGTGTGTTTCTGTGTATGAGTGCAAAGGATGCATTGTCTTTGTGTGTAAGGGTTGCATTGTGTGTGTGTAATGGATGCATTGTGTGTTTCTCTGTGTGTAAGGGAAGCATTGTGTGTGCGTAGTGTGAAAGAGCTCCCTGTCTTGCCCCCTGTCCTATAGAGCTGTCCCTTCTGTGCCTTAGAGCTCTCCCCTGCCCCTTAGTGGTCTCTCCTCTCCCCCACCCTCCCCTAGCGGTCTCTTCTCACACACACACACCCACCCTTCCTGTGCTCTTCTCATCCCCCCCTCCACCCTCCATGTGTTCTTCTCACCTCCCTCCTCCATGTGTTCTCCTCACTTCCCCCCTCCCTGTGTTCTCCTCACTTCCCCCCTCCCTGTGTTCTCCTCACCTCCCCCCTCCCTGTGTTCTTCTTACCCCCTCTCCCCCTGTGTCTCCTCCTCCCCCCTCCTTGTGTTCTCCTAATCTCTCCTTCTCCTCCCCCTCTCCTCCTGTTCTCACTTCCCTCTCCTCCCTGTGTCCTACTCACCTCCCCCCTCCTGTGTTTCTCCTCTTACCACCCACTCCCTGTGTTCTTCTCAGTCCCCCGCTTCTCCTCATCTCCCCTTCTCCTCACCCTTACTCTCCCCCTCCTCCTTGTGTTCTTTTACCCCTGTTTTTCTGCTCCCCGTTCTTCTCCTCTCTTGCTATTCTTCTTGCCCTTGCTTTGCCCCCTTCTTCTTCTTACTCCCCTGTTCTTCTTTCCCCTACTTCTGTTGCTCTCCCCTCCTTCTGTTACCTCCCCTCCTTCTTTTTACTCCCCCTCCTTCTGTTACCCCTCCTTGTTCTCCCTCCTTCTGTTGCTCCTTCCTCTGTTACTCCCTGTTGCTCCCTCCTTCTGTTCTCCCCCACTCCTTCTGTTGCTCCCCTCCTTCTGTTCCCCCCTCCTTCTGTTTACTTCCCCTTCTGTTACTCCCCCTTCTGTTACTCCCTACTCCTTCTGTTACCGCCCCTCCTTCTGTTACTCCCCCCTTCTGTTACTCCCCACTGAGTGTGTACCTTCCTATCACTCCGGCCGGGCACCGCGGACTGGAGAGGAGCTCGGCCACACTACAGGGAAGGAGAGGGGAGGAGAGAAGCAGCTGCAGCCGCCTGATGCTCTTTACAGAGCGCTCAGGCGGCTGCAGCATTAGGACCGGCTCTGCAGCGGCCGGTTTTAAAAGGATTTATGGCGGCCTGGGGGGCAATTGCCTGGCAGTGAGAGAGGTATTGCACGATGCCTTGACATTGAGGCATCGCTGCAATACCATTAGAGCGGCTGGAAGTGATCATGATCGCTTCCCAGCACTCTAATTCCCAGTGGACATATCAGGACCGTTTTTTGTCGGACGTACCTGATACGTCTGAGGTCGGGAAGGGGTTAATGTATAGTAAAACCTTAATTTGTACTGGGAGAGTCTCATCACTTCAACTCCGATTCATCTCCTGTGAAGTCAATATTAGTGATGATTTATGTCAAATCAGATGCTTCTCATAGAAAATAATTGGAACAAATTGTACAGTGATAAGCACAATACGGCACAATGCTCTATGAGAAGCACTCATTTCCAATTTTAATTACAGTACAAAGCAAATGAGACTGTCTGCCAAGTTTAGGGAAAAGATTGACGTGACAGAAAATGCTAACATTTAGTCCATAAGCATTTAATCAGCTGATCCAAATCATTGAGTCAAAAGTCACAGAGTGAATCAAAGCAAAAGATATTTGTACATTTTGTTAAAATTAGTTAGAGCCGTGGTCAACAGATTTGTCTAATTTTTTGCATGATTAGCTTTTGCAATAAAATACAACTCCTCCCTTCGTATTTTTATTAATGTTCTTCATTAAATCATTACCTTTGCTGTCAGGTCCCTGGTTAACACCTTAGAGCAGCTAGACTGTTAATTTCAATCATCTGACTGACAAATGTTTGTTGTGTTGAAGGGCAAAAGTTGATGATAAATGAAAGGAATTAGGAAATATAAGGAAGGCTTTTCTAGGGATTTCTAAGCCCTTTGCTTCTGGAGGGGCCTTTAAGGCACCAATTGTTTTGCTAGGTTTTGCTTCAGGGGAAATAAAGAGAACAGCTGAAGTGGTATGGAAATGTGTTATATTGCAAAGCAGGCAAGATTCACAGGAGCTGCTCCCTTGTTACATACCTAATCATCTGGGTTAAACTTCAGCAACACTCTTAACACTTGTCATGAGGATAATAATAGGAGGCAATAGCATGTATGATGGTAAGGGAGACAGAAATAAAGCATCGGGGGAAAAAAAGAACAGTGCAAAGTGATGTAAAATACTTCATGTAGCAGAACTGCATTTATCTACACTGGTTTTATTAAAATAAACCCAGATGCTGAATATAAGGTCCATAAACACTTACATACCTTATAACAATGGGAAGCATGGAGCTGGGATGGAAAGGGGTAGAAGGTGTGGATTTTTAGTGGTGGGCAGATACCAGTAATGCAGTTTGTATCCCTGATAATGCTTGCACCTATACCAGCATGCTAGGTTGAAAAAAGACCAGTGGCTTTAGGGTAAATGACCCCTCTTAATACCAGTCCGATACCATATACCCTATCTCTGGAATATGTTCTGTCAATCATATTGTTACACCAAATATTTGAATGATTTTTGACTATTATATAAAACCTACATTTATAAACTAAACCCTACACCTGCTGTATTAACGGCAAGCCAAGCTGTGTTAAAGGGTCACTAAAATCCCACAGACCACCCCAGATCAATGAAGTGATTTGGGTGCAGTGGACCTGCCATGTTAACCTTATAATGTAAAACACTGTAGTTTTACAGAATCAGCCATGTTTACATTACAGGTTAAATACAACTCTAGCGGCCGTCTTCCTGGCAGCCACTAGTGGTGATTCCTCCTCCAGATCTGAGTGAAACGTGGTCCTGCAATCACATACTGCTGGTGGGAGGAGCTTGGCATTTGGTTTACGGATGCCTAGTTCCAATTCATTGCGTCTGTGTAGGAGATCGCGGGTCATGTCAGCTTGGATGGTGACCTCACTGAAGGAAGCACTGTAGGCTGCAGTGGATGAGTCTCATTGGTAGAAATAAGATCAGTAAACTTTATTTAAATTAATTTTACTGAACAATGCTGGCAAAGCTATAAGGAGACTATTTAAGGGACTATAGGTTCCCTTTACCTAAACCTGCACTGCACTGCATGAAAATTTTAAGCAGAGCAAAACCACACTGTGCTGTATGATTTGCTTGAACTATGGCACACTGTTACAAATTATGCAATTATAGATGTTATTTCTCTCTCAGCTTTACATGGGACTTTGAGCTAACAATGAGAGGAGCCATTATTGGACCTCTGGATTTTTAGGACCCCACTCAGGCGTCAACCCCTGTTAGCCCTTACCAAGCAATACCTGTGCCAAAAGGAACTAATGGCAGGGTAATAGATAGCTGTGCAAGATGTAACATATTTCTATGGACAAAAATAACCCTGAACTGCACATTTCAAGTGGCCTTTTATTGTGGCCAGCCTAAGGCACACCTGTGCAATAATCATGCTGTCTGATCAGCATCTTGATATGCCACACCTGTGAGGTGGATGGATTATCTCGGCAAAGGAGAAGTGCTCACTAACACAGATTTAGACAGATTTGTGAACAATATTTGAGAGAAATAGGCTTTTTATGTACATAGAAAAAGTCTTAGGACTCAGATGCCAAGATGGCGGCAGCCGACCAAGCTCCTGGGACTCCACCCGCCCAGTCTCTACCAACACGGCTGACAAGCAAACTACACCATGAAGACCGCATAGCAGCAGCTTTTGAACACTTTTGGGCGCAGTGGAGGGCCACACTGGCACCGACCCAAACAATCACAACGATTCCTCGACCACCCACTACTCCACCTGCATGCGGGCCGCCGACGAGGCACACAGCCGGACCAAAGACTGGTACGAAGCAACAAGGGGCAAGGAGGGCTTTACCCAGTCCTAAAGCTCGCAGACCATGCACCCGACGCTGCCAATCAGGGCCCCGACACACTCAGAGAGCCTCCATCCTTGGCCCGACAAAAAGCATAATAAGGAGGCGCACCCATGGGGCCTATGCTCATCCACAGCAAAACACAACCGCAACCAACACCCAGACGGGCTTTGCCCTCACAGCAAGAGGACACCCAGAGACACCAACCCGTGACACAGCAAGGAGAGCAGAACAGCCATCAAGCCACCAAGGAAACATCCCTGCTACCCGAGGTACTCACGGAGGCCCAAGAAGCAATGGCGGAGCCCCTTCAGCTCTCTCAACCCGCGACACCGAGGCCCCAAGGGACTTTCCGGCTAGTACCATGCCACTGCCGACCACAGGAGTTGGCTGACTTTCGCTGCCACACTGCGGCTTGGACTGCTGCCACACCACCACGTCCATGCAGCTCTAGTGAACTCTGTATAGCATCAATGTCCAGCCCTGTCTCTCTAAGATAAGTAATATTTAGGCTAATGACCGGCAGATGTGCATTGAGGCAGAGGCATTAATGACTTACTTATTATTATTAGATTAAAATCGAGATCACATTTGTTTAAAGCCTTAAGAAGCACCTACGTTAATTAACATGAGCAGTGAGTTTGCATTGAACAGGGCAATTTTTATTATTTCTTTTAAGCTACGCTAGTCGCAGGACAGTACTTGGTTATTCTAGCTTTGTATCTTTACGTTATTGATCAGACCTGTCTACCGTTTTGCCTTATTTTACATGTGACTGACTACATTATAATCTACATAGTGCATAATATCTGTGCTTGCTTCTAAAAAGCTTTGTCAAACTACATACTATACAAAGCATACTACTTACGCCTGTTTCTAAAAAGCTTTGTTAAACTACACACTGCATAATTCTAAAAATGGGGCACAACTGCTCCATTGTGCAATCAACTACTGTTATTCTCAAAACGAGCTAACACACAATACCTGTACTAGCATAGATGACGTAGCAGTATCAAGCAACCAGCATCATTATTTTGTTACATTTTATTTAATCTGACTCTGATGACATATCTGCTCAGTTAAGCTTGCAAAATATAAAATTTGTGCGAATTATCATGCCACTGTCTGACTATTGTGAAAGCTTCAGATACGCTGTTGTGGCGTCTGTCAAAACCCTGTAACCACCTGCACAACAAAAATAAAGAATTTATAAAAAAAAAAAAGAAAAAGTCTTAGATCTTTGAGTTTAGCTCATGAAAAATGGGGGCAAAACCTACCGAAAATTTGTTTCATACTTACCAGTAAATTTCTTTTCCTGGCTATTTCTCATGGCAGCATCACTTATGGGTTAGCTCCACCCTCAGCCGGATCAGGACAGAAAACAATTAAACAATTAACAAGGCTGTAGGCATAAAGGGTTCCTCCTCCCTCCATACCTCAGTCCAATTGAAAAGCTCAGACAAAACCCAGGGCGGGAACCTGATGCTGCCATGAGAAATAGCCAGGAAAAGAAATTTACTGGTAAGTATGAAACAAAATTTCTGCCAAACTTAGTAGAAGAAGAGGCTACATCCAGCCTATAATGTTTTATGAAGGTTATAGGAGAAGACCACATTGCTGCCTTGCATATGTCATCAGGGGACACCTCTGCCCAATTAGCCCATGAAGTAGCCAAAGACCTAGTCGAATGAGACTTAATCCGTTTTGGAGGAGAAACACCTTTCAGAGTGTAAGCTTTAGTGATGATGTTGGAAATCCATCTACGTAGTGTAGAAGTGGAAGCAGCTTCACTCTTTCCCGGAGCCTTCAGGAATAATGAACAAATGATCCGTCTTAAGAAATGTACCAGAAACAGACAAATACCTGATCAAGTATTCCCTAATATCCAGATTATGAAGATTCACCTCCAGCTCCGAGGAAGGTTCAGGAAAAAAAGAAGGCAGAACTATCTCCTGGTGTAGGTGAAATTTTGAGACAACTTTAGGAAGGAATTCCAACTTCGGACGTAAAACCACTCTGTCGTGGAAAAGCTGAATATAGTCCTCTGCACAGGAGAGAGCTCTCACCTCCGAGATTCTTCAGGCTGACGTAACAGCCAACAAAAACAGAGTTTTGTACGTGAAAGAAGAGAAATCCAAGTTCTCTAGAGGAGAAAAAGGAATTTCGGACCAGGCATCCAAGACCAGAAGAAGATCCCAAGGAGGAGCATAGTTGTGCAGAGGAGGTCTAATGCGAATGGTAGCCTTAAAGAACCTGGTATTCAGGGGATTTGAAGCCCAAGAGTAGTTACAGAGGGCCGATAGTGCCGAACACTGCATCTTGAAGGTACTCAGGCTTAAACCCTTATCCAATCCAGCCTGTAAGAACTCTAAAATCTGGTTCTGGTCAGGTTTCAAGAAGTCTAGACCTTTGTCAAGATTCAAGGACTTAAATGACTCCCATATACAGTGATAACACTTGGACGTAGATTTCTTCCTAGACAGAAGCAGCATATTCGTTACTGCCTCAGACAATCCTGTTTGTAGGAGCCGTTCCCTTTCAAAAGCCAAGCCCCCAATCTCAGATGTACGGAGTTGGGATGGTAGACAGGACCATGGCTTAGCAGATCTCTCCTGATTGGAAGCCACCAGTGTTCCTCCACGGACATTTTGTACAGGAGAGGGAACCAGGGCCTCCTTGGCCAGAACGGGATGATAGCTATTATCACTTGATTCTCCATCCAAATTTTCTTTAGTAAGCGATGAATGTAATCCAGACTTATAAAAGTCAGCAGCCTGATAGCAGCACAAGAGAAGATTACTCAGCTAAGCTCCTCCAAAAGCCCTTGACTCCTGTGGCGAATAAGCCCACTCCACATTATAGATGGGGAACATGCATCAAGGGATTTTTAAGGTAACCAACCCCTATAAAACAGATATACTCATATGTATATATACAGCACCAAATTCAGTTTAGGGAATTAAAGAAATACGAACCCCTGAGTTGTGCCTTCCTGAAATCCAGATACATAGTCCAGAATCTTCATGTATGACAGTCTCTAAACTGCTCAGGGGTGGGGGCCAGGGAGGAGGACAGTAGGTCCCCCCTTATTGTTTTTTAGGGCCCCCACCCACCGCTCAGGGGTGGGGTCAGGGGTGGAGGACAGTAGGTCCCCCCACACCATTCTTATATAGGGCCCCCGCTTCTATCTTTATATATTAGAAGGAGGGAGCTGTGCGCCGGTAGCTCCCTCCTTGTAATAAACTGAACGAACAAACGAACACTGATATTCAGTGTTTGTTTGTTCGTCTGACATTTCTATTCATTCATTCGTCTTTCTGATGAATGAATGAATAGATGAAATTCCCGTTCGCATGTCCAAGTGTTTCACTGGGCATGTGCGGGAATCTCACAGTCTATCTAGTGTGGGCAGATGACGTGTCCCACAGGGACTTCATCTACCCACACAAAGATGGTGGCGCCCTGAATATAGATCTGGGCAGAAAATAAAGATTAAAAAATTGGTAATATGGGGGGCTTAGGGGCATTTGGGGGTGACTAGGGGGTCAATTAGAGATAGTGGAGGCAGGAGGGCCATGACAGTGCCGCTTTAAGAAAGTGTAAAACATTTAATAAGTAAAAAAAAGTTTAAAAACAGGTTTTACAAAGTAAAAAAAGTTTTACAAAGTCAAAAAATACATAAAAAAAAATGCTCATTACCACTACACTTGCTACAAGCTAGCGGAAAAATGATCCCACGCTAAGGTTCAAAATATGCCTTTTGAATTACCCTGGGATGTCTTCTTTAAGAAATGGTATGCCTTTATGGTGTAATTGGATTATATAACCTTGTAAAATACTCTAAAATGGGACATGGACACAGTGTAAAAATTCAAAAATTGAGAAAAACTGGAATGGCTGTGTCTCAAATGTGCCTCTTCAATGTCCACATATAACTGGCAAAGGTACATTCGGGGGTATTGCTGTACTCAGCCGACTGAGCAACATATGAAGTATTATACAGTCGTAGCACACATAAGGTTTGCAAAATATGCTGCGCAAACTCACTTTGTGTGTCAAAAAGGCAGAAAAAAATGCTTATTACCACTACACTTGGTACAAGCTAGCGCATGACATATGCACAGACGTTATTCGGCATGTGCAAACTACACTTAAATAATACACGGACACTGAATATTCTGTTGGAGTATAACGTCCACAGCTTTATTAATTATAATTTCAAATATTTAAATTAACAATTTAGGGTCATTGTCAACAGTAATAACTTTGTTCCGCTCCGTCCTCCAAAATACCCCTGACAATGACCCTACCAAAGAACAATACGTACATTATAAATAATACATAACAAATAACACCCGGCCTACCAAAGAGGCCTCACCACATTTCTCCACCTGCAGGGGTGTACCGAGACACCCCTACACCCCTTGGTTCATAGCCACTGGCGGGCTCGAACCTACCAAACACTTTAAGTCCGGCCTACTCCAGCCTAGACCTTGGCCTAACACTTTCCTAACCCACAAAATTCCTGTTTAACCATGCCCTTTTTCCCTGCCGCTGTGACCAAACGGGAACCCAACCAAAATTTATATAAAGGGCAGCTCAAGTTAAAATGGCTTAAACTTAAGATGGCTGCTATTTAACAGGCTGACACTCCTCCCCCACTTAGCAACATAAACCACACCCCTTGACCTACAATTCACCTGCCAACTTTCTGGCCCTGTCAAGGCCCACTCCCCCCCTGCGTTGCTCCGTGGGCTTCAAAAATGATCCCACGCTAAGGTTCAAAATAGGCCTTTTGAATTGCCCTAAAATACTCTAAAATGGGACATGGGCATAGTGTAAAAATTAAAAGTTTGAAAAGAACTGGAATGGCTGTATCCCAAATGTGACCCTCCGATGTCCACATATACCAGGCAAAGGTACATACGGGGGTATTGCTGTACTCAGCCGACATAGCTGAGCAACATATGAAGTATTATACAGTCATGGCACACATACGATTTGCAAAATATACTGTGCAAACTCACTTTGTGTGTCAAAAAGGCAAAAAAAACGCCTATTACCACTACACTTGGTACAAGCTAGCGGAAAAATTATCCCATGCTAAGGTTCAAAATACGCCTTTTGAAATACCCTGGGATGTGTTCTTTAAGAAATGGTATGCCTTTATGGTTTAGTTGTAATATGTAGCCTGCTCAAGTGCTCCAAAGTGGGACACAGACGCATCAAAACCCTCCATGAAAATTCACACTTAAAAACCTTAACTTGTCACGTCTCTTTTACAGCAGTGTAACTTCACAAAATAGTGTCTAGGTCATACATTGGGCATATTGTTTTACTCAGAAGACTTAGCTGAGCATAATTTGGGGGGTTTGAACTTAGTGGCACATATGA